CCTTGTCCTCATATAGTTTTGCTTCTGTTGGGGAGACCCAGGACAGGGATGCTCCAGCCAGCCTCAATCCTCAGGTGGGCATATATAGAGGGAGAGGTTAAGATTGCCAGGTGTCCCTTGTTATAAGAGAAGTCCTCCATTTGAGTGGTAGCAAGCTTTTCTTGTTATGTAGATTGAATAAGACGCCAAAATATTTTGTATTTGGGGGTGTGGGCCCTTCATAAAGGCAGAGATGTGTTCTTCATGTACCGTACTTTATGAATGTGGTCATTGCTGCTGTTGTGTGCTTTCAAGTCTTTTCTGACTTTTGGCAACCCTAAGGTGAACCTATCATGGACTTTTCTTGGCAAGTTTCTTCAGAGAGGGTTTTGCCACTCCCATCCTCTGAGGCTGAGAGCATGTGACTTGCCCAAGGTTACTCAGTGGGTTTACATGACCGAGCTGGGATTTGAACCCTGGTCTCCAGAGTCCAATGCTCAAACCACCACACCATGCTGAAGCCTTCTGAATGTGGACAATATGTTAATTTTATAGAGAAACACCTGGCTAGGTTCACTGAAACCAGTATTTCCATTTGGTATTTCAGTGGGATATGAACTTGTTAATAGCTGCTTCCAGATTTTATGTATTTATTTATTAGAGTCACTTCCCACCTTTCTGCCAAAATGGGATTCAAGGCAGCAAATTGTCAACCTTGCATATTGTGAACTTTGACTGTCCCTTACTGCTGTTTTGAAAATCTGGCAACATGAAATTTAAAAGTTATCACTAGCAGTGTGAATTCACATTGGAAATATATTGGGAACCTGTCCAATTCCTTTAAAACTGCTGTTACTGTAATAGGTGTAGAGTAGAAGCACTACAAGAGATGCGGTGAAGAAGTGTGGGTTCATGGACGTTATCACACGGGGGCAAATCTGCGGGTTAATCCACACAAAACCCAAACAGAAACTGGATTAGTGTCCTGTGTTTTCACATGATGTCACACAGAAACGGGACAGAAAGTGGACAGAAACTGGTGTTAACCGCGATATTTTGAAAATTCGGTTGTTTGGAGGAAATGCAAATGCGCAATTAAGGTAATTTCGCATTTATCATAATGTGATAACCAAATGCGTATTTGGGAGCATTTCCCTGCTTTTCCCATGGTTCCAGCGAGCATTCCTCTATCTGCGCATGTGCAAGAAGCTCATTTCTACTACATTTATGGGCTTTTTTCGCTTGTGTGCGAATGTTAAATGCGCTTACTGTAAATTCGCAATTAAGGTAATGACATTTGCAGAATTAAGGTTTATTTCCCGTTTATTTTCGGAATGCCTCATTTCCACTTTATTTTCACTTTCTGGCCCACGTGTATGAGACGGAGATCCCAGATGCCAAAATGCCTTAAGGAGGATTGCCAAGGGGTTTCTTCAATTGGATTCCTCATAATACATAAAATGTATACTTGTCATACTCCCACTTCTCACTTTTTTATGCATCATTGAATTTTTTCAGTTGGTTTGTTGACAGAAAAAAAAGGAGGAAGCATTCGCTCTTCAAATACGCTGACCTATCATTATTATTACCACCATATATTATATATCTTAGTTAAAAAAATTAAACCTTAGCTGGCTGATGTTTTGGGGACAGTGCCAGAACAAAAGCAGCATGAAGTGAATTAACATGACTAAGCAGTCACACCTTTTAAAAAAAAATTACAAAAGGTAAAGGTACCTTTTAAAATGAGTTTAGCACAAGACCTCTGGAGCTACCTGTATGAAACTGAGCTGGTTTAATTCCCTTTGCAGCTTCTAAATTTTAGTGGAAGTGTGATTTTTTTTTAAAAAAAAGTTATAGCTATTTTGAGTTCCCCAATATAAACCAATGGAGATGACTGGTAATTAAGGTCTCAAACCACAGTTTGGATTCAGAGTTCAAACCAGCCTGGTCTGAATCAGGCTCAGATTCAAATTGCTGAATCAAGACCAGGTCCAAATTGCTTCTATAGGTCAAATTTAGAGGCCTGTTCATAGTCCTCTTTTAACTGCTTCTCTATGGGCTACCCTCTACCATTCAGAAGGATAAGATAGCTGCTTCAGACAGAAGATTGTGGATGCCATGAAGGATCAGCAAATTGCTTTGTTATTTACTTTTGTTTATTTTTACTGGTAATGGTAGGGATGGATGGGGAGAGTCAGTGTGTCATAATGGTTTAAGTACTGGCCT